CCTGTAATGTCAAACTTTTCTCATCCTCATTCCGTTGTCAACTGTAATCAAGTATGTCCATGGAATCATTAATATATTCTTGATGATGAGTAATTTTTTTATTTGAAAAAGATTTGTCAGATGTGAGAGACTCACCACCCTGTTCATGGAATTTACTTAGATTATGAAGATTTTGTTTGTTTTTAATACAATAAATCCATTGAATGTTGTTTCTGTGTGTTCACACCAATTACTAGAACATGTCCTAACATTTGCAGTAAAAAACTTCTAAGCATTTTTGTTGAGTTATGATGTTTTTTAAGTTTTTCCCCCATACTTCATCTTTCCATTTCGTCTGTTGTGATTTTTCAATGATATGCAGAATCTTCATTTTTTTTTCTTGCTTATAGGTTACAATGTTCTTTTATTGTATCAGACTAATTACATTTCTTTCTCCTCAGTAGCAAGTTAAGTACTTATTGGACTTTTTGTAGCAGATTGTTCCATATTGGAGCTCTATATTCTGGTATGCATGAAAAGGTTGGAAGTGAAGGAACAGAATTCGTACAACTTCAATTCTGTAATGAAAGGTGCACTTATGTTCATCTTCTCGTTGTTTCATTGGAACTTTGCAAGATTTACAAGCATTCTTCAAAATGTTTTTATTATTGAATGTGACAGAGTACAAAAGCATACACGATTCATTCCAGACGTCTGATTATTATTCGCGAAGCGTGTGCTTACGGGTATCTTGGAGCTGAACAAACTTGTTTACATTTGGATTTTTTTTAGCTTCCTTCTAGGTTGGGTTGGGTTTTATATTTATTTTTTGACCAGAAAGTTCCCTTGAGTTATGCAGGCTTTTGAGCACCTTCTACAGCGTGAGTTAATCTGCTTCACTGACAACCGTGGACATAATCAATCAATTGAATTTCGACCAGTCAAGCTGTTAATATCGTCGCCTGAACTTCATCTTGGACTGAAGGCGTATCGTTCTTGTCCTGTAAGTTGTTTCCATATAAGTGATCTTGTGTTGAGGCCTTTGTTTTTGACAAATTGGAAATTTGATTGCTATTCTGAGATTCCACATTCATTGGGGAGGAGAACAAAGCATTATTTATAAGGGTGTGAAAACCTCTCTCTAGCAGACGCGTTTTGAAAACCTTGAGGGAAAGTCCGAAAGGGAAAACCCAAATAGTACAATATTTGCTAGTAATGGACTTGAGCTGTTACATCTATGTTATCAACTATTTGTAAATTAGATATGTTACGCCTATGCTATCAACTATTTGTAAATTAGATATCGAACTGTACTTCCATCATTGTTGTTGACTGAAGATGGCTGGGCGTCTTTTTTACTATGGTTACAGGTCATTCTTCAGAAACTAATGAATTGAGGAGGTGAAGTTGAAACAGCCGAGGGGACTGGATGATCTTCTGGAACTCCAGACCTTTGTCGTGTGCAAGGCAGCTCAGGCCCTTATACGAATGTGTTTTACGGTTAGTTTTGGATAGATAATTACTCGGGCCATTTCTTAGGTGGGAGTTTGATTTAATCGAATTATCGGGACTCTTATATTGTAATTATTCTATAGTGCTGGACGTCTCGACTTCTATCCGATTGAAGTCTGAATCATCAAGTTGAGGCAATATTTGATGAGATCTAAACGAGGTTGTTGCTATAATCTAGATGAGTGAGTTGCTGACTTAAATACTTCGATAGTTTGATATATCAACTTCATCTAGTTTACCTGAAAATTGGTATCAAATCAGGAGGTGTATTTGCTTTAAAGGTTCGAATTCTCGATATTATAAAATAATTTTAAGCCTAAAAAGGGGAGTTATTATTATATTGGCTTCTTTAAATCCCACCTAACTCACTTTCTAAAATATAAATGAAAATGAAAATCACGATTTAAACTTAAAACATTCATCAACTCGACAAAAGCATACACTGAGTCCACTCAGTATGAATCCTCGAGTTTGTTCGTGATCTTATTCTTACCCATGTGGTGACTCACTGCCTCGGCTGCCGTGTTCGCACCTCTCCATACTCGGATTCATCACGCCTTCCCGAGTTTTTGTCTAATCTTTCTTCCAATTCTTCCGATTAACCTCCGTTTGCGCCACTAATCCTTCGATTTCGATGGTGTTTACTGTAGAAATTTGAGGATTCGTGTGTTGATTTTGCAATTTTTTTTTTGTTCGATTTCGTTTGTTTTGTGTTTTGTTGTTCTCTCTTTGTTCGATTCGATATGATGAGCTATGGAGATAAGGAGGAGGAGGTGGACCTGAACTCGTCTCATGAAGAAATGGAGAGTTTGGTTCTTGACGATCCTCCCGACGGGAAATCTCATGGTAGGAACGGTCAATTGAGTCGGCCGGTGACGATTAATTATGATCCCTTGCTTTCGTCGTCGCCGTCTTATGCAGACCGTCAAAGCCCTGATTCGCCTTTCGATTCGTTTCTTGAACCTCCTTCTTATGCAGAGGCGATTTTCACGTCTTTTGATTCATCATCTAATGGCCGCGATGGTAGCCCTGACTTCTCTTCCACATCCAACGCTTTGAGCTCTGAGTTCTTGAGTATCTCGGTTACGGATCCGCAGAGAATGGATGAGCTAAACAATTCGTTGGTCCCCGGTGGAAGTGGTTACTACACATATCTGATTACGACGACAACGAATCTACCTGAGTACGGAGGGCCTGGGTCCGAATTCGGTGTTCGAAGGCGGTTCAAGGATGTTGTAGCATTGTCCGATCGATTGCTGGAGTCGTACCGTGGGTTTTTCATACCGATGAGGCCCGACAAGAACGTGGTGGAGAGCCAAATGATGCAAAAGCAGGAGTTTGTGGAGCAGAGGAGGGTTGCATTAGAAAAGTATTTGAGGAAATTAGCATTACATCCAGTAATTAGGAGAAGTGAGGAGTTGAGAATGTTTCTGGAGGCAAAGGGGTCGTTGCCATTAGTTAGAAGCACTGATGTAGCTTCAAGGATGCTTGATGGAGCGGTGAAGCTGCCGAGGCAGCTATTTGGGGAGCCAGCGGCGGCGGTAGATTTGCAGGAGGTGGTAAAACCTGCAAAAGGGGGCAGAGATCTGTTGCGAATCTTTAAGGAGTTGAAGCAATCAATGACAAACGATTGGGTTGGGGCAAAGCCAATGGTAGTGGAAGAAGATAAGAAGTTCTTAGAGAAGAAAGGGAAATTAATGGACATTGAACAGCAACTTGGCGAGGTCTCTCAACAGGTATGAATCTGGTGCCGTGAAGGTTTTCATACACATCTCTGTCTTGTAAAAACTTGTGAATTATAGATATTATGGCCTTATGATTAGGAACAGTAAAGGCATTTTGAGAAGCTTTTTTAAACCATAGTTTTCTTGCCTGGCTCCATTTAAGCACGAAAGCAGAACTTCTACTAGAAAGTTTAGGATTGAGTTATTGTTAATTCTGAAATACATTGCTGATTGCCCTTAATTTGGATGTGAAATGAAGGATGCTCATTTCTCTATACTTTCTATAATGTTGCATGTCTTACCATTATTTTGAAGGCTGAATCACTGGTGAAAGCTCAGCAAGACATTGGAGAGACAATGGGAGAACTGGGATTAGCATTTGTAAAGCTGTCCAAATTTGAGACTGAAGAAGCTACGGTCGAGTCTCAAAGAGTACGAGCTGCTGACATGAAAAATTTGGCGACTGTTGCTGTTAAAGCCAGCAGATTGTATCGAGAACTAAACTCACAAACAGTGAAGCATTTGGTGAGTTCTAAGAAGTATGGTGCAATTTGAATTAGTATCTATACATGTAGGCGAGTTTGATAACTCGTAGATGGATTAAAATGTACTATTATCTGTATAGCTTCAAAATGATTGATTAAGTGATTACACTTTAAGTCACCTCAAACTTACCTTCAACATAAGTCATCTAATAGCATTATGGCTGCTGTTAAGGCTTTCCATCCAGAAAACTCTTGCTTTGTCCTGTAAAGGAGTCTTTCTCTTACTGATTAGTATTAGAGTTGATGAAGTCCATGAAGGAGATTCACTTCATCAATTATCTTGTCCTTATTTGTATCCAATCATACATTGCAGGATAAGCTTCACGATTATCTCGGAGTTATGTTAGCTGTCAACGGTGCATTTTCTGACCGAGCAAGCGCTCTACTGACTGTTCAGACCCTTTCATCAGATCTATCTTCGTTACATACGAGGATTGAGAGGCTTGAGGTTGCTTCATCCAAGATATTTGGTGGGGACAGATCCAGGTTGCGGAAAATTGAAGAGTTGAAAGATACTTTGCGTATTACAGAGGATGCTAAGACTCGTGCAGTGACAGAATATGATCGGATCAAGGTAGATTACCTCCTGTTTAACCCATTTTTCTGTATATGCTTAGCTGGATAATTAAAGATCACATGGAAATCCATACACTTGGCTGTTTGCTTTGAGACATTTAATTGAATTGTGTTGCCTTATAGGTTCACCCATATGTGTTTATGTAATTAGCTGAGTCATTTTAGATTGTAATCTTCAAATGTCAGAGCTGCTTGAAGTGTTGAGTATGAGTATTAATTTGAGTGCAGGAAAACAATAGGAGTGAGCTTGAGAGGCTCGATAGGGAGATGCAAGAAGACTTCACTCATATGTTGAAAGGCTTTGTCCTTAATCAGGTTAGATTCTTTTGACAACCTTGACACTACGGCAACCCTTTCACTTCGTCGTATAACTGCTTCGAAGTACCGTAATCGAAGTTCATTTTATCAGGTGGGATATGCAGAGAAAATGGCAAATGTTTGGGAGAGTCTTGCTGAAGAAACTAGGGACTACCAGAAAGATCACAGCTGAAAATTTTGGATGTAGTTTTAACAAGGATGCATACTACCGAACACACCTTTTGATTAATGAGAAGTTTCTTGTAGACTTAGCAAGCGGATCAGTGTACGTTATTCTCGTCTTGTAAATCTCTTTTGTTGAGCAAATTTATTACGTTCAATAGAAACTACTCGTAAATTTACACGATCTGTGGAAGAATTATTCTCAAATGTGATAGCAAATTTACAGAGAGTGAAGAACTGCTATTCAATAACACACTTTATGGAAACTAATAATATAACTAGAATTCTGGTCATTAAATTCTTCCAAGACAAAGACCACCCTTAAAAGAATTAAAAGAATCACACAGAAGTCTCTGTTCTATCATCCTACCCTGCCTGTTGGGAAAGCCCTTTTCACTCGCTTGTCGAAGGGGGTGGTCCTCCTCCTGCTCCATCATCCCCAGAACTGGGAGTGGTTTCTGGCCTAATCTCCTGCAGTTGTTGCAGAACTTGTTGAACTTCCGGTCTTGCCGATGGTGAAGGATCGACACAATGCAAAGCGAGTTTCAGAGTGTTTAGTAATTCATCTCCAATGCTAGATGCATCCCTCATCAACTCCAAATCGAAAACTTCATTAGTCCACTCCTCTTTGACTATTGATGCAACCCATTGTGGCAAATCGACACCGTTCATGGCTTCACCCGGTGACTTCCCTGTCAAGAGTTCCAATATGATTACTCCAAGGCTGTAAATGTCGGTTTTCGTATTTGCTTTCTTCAGCTTCGAGAGCTCTGGTGCTCGATACCCGAGTGCCCCTGCTGTTGCTATCACATTTGAGCTTGCGGCTGCTGTCATCAACCTTGACAAGCCAAAATCTGCAATCTTAGCATTTGTGTACTCATCAAGTAGAATGTTGCTGGATGTTAGGTTTCCATGAATATTGTTCTCGTGCGTGTGAAGGTGACACAGGCCACGAGTCATACCCTGAGCAATCTTCATCCTCGTCGGCCAATCAATGGATGTGTCCGGGCCACGAGCTGTAGATTTCAAAGAATTTAAGCAAGCAAGCTTACAAGTATGTACATTTTACCTTAAGCTGTGAAATAAAGTATGAAACTTGCAGTTACTTACCGTGCAGGAACGCTGCAAGACTCCCGTTCGGCATGTAATCGAAAACGAGAAGCTTTTCTCCTTTGGGTCCCAAGTAATAAGCTCTTAAAGCTAGAAGATTTGGATGCCTGACCTTGCCAAGAATGTTGACCTCTGCTTCAAATTCTTTCTGGCTCTTAGTGATCTTCTCTCTCAATCTCTTCACTGCAACTTGATTTCCATCCTCCAATGTGGCCTTGTAAACAGTCCCATAAGTACTCTTTCCCATTATTTCTGCTGTTGCACACAATAGATCATCTGCTGTGAACACCGTTTGCCCGTCGAAATGGACGAGCTTCCCACCGGCATCCCCTCCTCCCACTTCAACTTCACTGCTAGTCAGAGGGACGTCCTTCTTCGGCCTCGCAGCCCCGGCTGCTGCTGCTGCCGCCGCCTCACCACCACCCTTTTCTTTTGAAGCAGCCCTCTTCCTAATCAAGCAGCACAGCAGTACAAAGAATACTATAACCAATACTAGAAGGAGAGCTCCTGCTACTATGAGTATTATATCTTTAGTACTTAACTTCCGATGTCGAGACACCGAACTTTCCGGTGGAGGAGCTGGAGCTTCTAGAGAAGGAACCGGGGACGGGCACGGAGTTGAACCACTGAACCCACAGAGCTGGATGTTCCCAACAAAGGAACTTGCACTAAATTTTTCGGCGAGAGCCGAAGGAACAGAACCCGAAAGGTTGTTGTACGAGACATTTAAGGATTGAAGACCTTCCAATTCAGCAAGAGAAGCTGGTATTTCTCCACTTAGATTGTTCTGAGATAAATCAAGTTGTTTAAGTGTTGAAATGTTCCCTAAATTTGCAGGAATTTGACCATTGAACCTGTTTCTACTCAAGTTAAGAACAGAGAGATTTCTTAAACTATCAAAACTTTGAGGCATACTTCCATTAAGGAAATTGTTAGAAACATCCAGAGTTTTGAGCAGAGAAAGCCTACTAATTTCTTCTGGAATGCCACCATTCAATCTATTATGGCCAAGAGAAACCACTTGAAGCTCACTTAACTTCCTTAAAGAAGCTGGTATGATACCTGAGAGGAGATTGCCATCAAGAGCCATCAACTTGAGCTGAAACACCCGGTTTTGATCAGTGGCGTCGCCGCCCCAAGAGTCGGGGATGCTGCCTGAGAGATTGTTGTGTTGAAGATCAAGATAAGTAAGTGACACTGATCGAGTTAGACTCATTGGGATCGAACCCGTAAACGAGTTAAAGCTCAAGTTAAGCCAATAAAGCTTGGTGGAATTAGCCAACGTAGGTGGGATAGCTCCGGTGAGCAAATTGTTACTGACATGAAGAGTTTGAAGCAGAGGACAAAGCCCCAATGACGCCGGAATGGAACCCGAAAATCGATTGTTGAACAACTGAACGCCTCGAAGATTCGGAAGAAGTCCCAATGAAGAAGGGATTGATCCACCTATGAAGTTGTCATGTAAGCTAAGCTTCCTAAGCGCCTGAAGTTGGCCGATCTTATCAGTGATTCTACCTCCCAAGCCCTTCCATGGAAGCTGAATAACAATAACCTGTCCCTTAGCACATTTAATCCCAACCCAACCACCAGAACAAGCCCCAAATCCACTATCGTTCCAACTTTTCAAGAACCCTTTAGGATCATCAAGCTCCTGCTTAAACGCCTGAAGGGATTGGAAATCAGCCTGTGTGACAACCACACCATCCCAATCTTGGCTCAAAACAGGTCGAATGGTGACCAAATTAAGTAACAAAAAGAACAAACCCAATCCAAAACGAAACCCATTAGGGTTTTTTCTCAGAATCTTCCATTTTTCCTGCTCTTTCCCTGAAGAACAGAACCCATCAGCAGCGGCCTGAGTAAACAAAACATGAAAATCGGGAAGTGGGTGTCTCGAACAAGAGTTGGAATCACATGGGGTTTGGATTTCATCCATAGAAAACGTAAAGAAGAGGAAAGAAAAGGTTGAAAGAAGATGAAAATGGAAGAAAAGAGAGGGGCATAGGGAAAGAAGAATGAAACAGAGGAAGGAGGGGAAGGCGTTTAAGGGTTTTGTAGAGAGAAGAAGAAGTGGGTTTTGGGGAGGGAGGGGAAGGGAAGGGAAGGGAAGGGCACGTGAATGCCTGAGAATAAAACGAGTGAGGGACACAAATGTCAGGTGGATGCAATAAGGGACCAGAGGCTCTTCCTCTGCTTCTCTCTCTCTCTCTCTCTCTCTTGTTTGATAGGCTTAACGGCTAGTTTTTTTTTTTTTGGTTCTGAAACTGTTTGTGTTCTCAAGGTTTTGGCTTGTTTTATATTTTTGGGGCTCATTGAACATGGCGGTAGAGAGAGAGAGAGAGATAGAGTTTTGGGGGGTTTTTTAGTGGCATCACCGCTCCTCCAACGGCTATGTCCCTGTGTGTTTCAGTGATGGGGATCCACCAGCTGAAGACATGAGTAGATATTTCCTTGGAAATAGTGTCAAATTATTTTGAGTTTTTGTTTGTTTAATAAGGAGTAAGTTTGATATAGTAAATGGGACCCACCAGCTTGGTGGACAAGATAGTTCCTAGGAAATGGAGAGAAATTCAGAAAGTATGAGAGAGAAGAGATTAGGATCTAAGTTTTATTTAGTTATTTAGTTGAGTTCTTTTTGAAACTGACCCAAATTAGCTTTTTTGATTTATGTTTTTATTATTATATTCACTATGTTTGATTCAGAAGATAAAATTTATTCATTTCTATTCAGTCATGTTGTCTTCTTCTTTTGTTTAATGAAGTTCTGAATTTTATATTTAGATCCTTTTTGGGGGGTTTTGTGTTACGTAGTTTGAAATTATATATAAAAATATCAAGTATGCATTCTTTTTTGTTATTTATTTATATTTTTGAAAGTCTAACTTTATGTAATATCTATTTTTATTTGTTTTAATAACCTATTTTAGTCTTCGTACTCATATACATAATAATTAATCACTCGCTCCAAACCTAATTCTTTATTATCGTTGTATTGAAAGAATGACAAAATATACTCAATGTCTGTCTGTTTCAAGATGTTCAAAAAATTTTGAAGCTTGATAAACAGAAACCTGCAAGGATGTGAACCTTGAGTTTTTGAAGCCTGTATTTCAGTGTTTGGGTGCAGTTTTCTGTAATCTATGTTTCTTTTGGTAGGTAGTTTTGAGCATTGTATATCCCTAATTTTGAACCAAACATTTAAACTATTACTTTCTACCAAAAATAATAATAATAATAAACCTCTTGGTGCATGGACACTCTTGAGCTTTGGAATATAAGAATCTATCAAATACAAATGAATAGATTTGATGATTGATGGATACTTTGTGAGCTTTTGGGCATTCGAGACTTTTATATGACCTGTCATAGTCAAGTTTTATCTTCGTCTCGAAACTGGAAAATTGATGGAAGACACTCACTATCAACTCTTTAGCTACTTAAAAATGGCTCTTCGTCGAGCTAGCGAAACAAATGACAGATGAAGGTTGTGGTGAATTACATAAGCATGTTAGAACATGCAATTTTTTTTTTTTTTTTTTTTTTTTTTTTTTTTTTTTTTTTTTTTTTTTTTTTTTTTTTTTTTTTTTTTTTTTTTTTTTTTTTTTTTTTTTTTTTTTTTGACATATCCCTATACTTTCAAACTATGTTAGAATTATGATATTCATTCAAATTTCCTCAACTCCCTCTGTATGTTCCCTTTAAAAATCATTTGTAATTTACCTCTGCCAAACTTACTCCATTCCAACATTACAATCCCAAGCCACTACACCAATTCCCATTCACAAATCTCAACAAAAAACAACTCACTAAGAGACCTGCTTAGAAAGCCAAGAGAAACATTTCACATCTTTGCTACCAAAATCAACAACCTTCAAATTTATGCAAGAATATCAATTATTGAGAGTCATTCGAAACAAAGAGTCAAAAGTGGAGGAGGGAGGAACAGACCTGAAGACGGAAATACCGCACTAATTGTTTTCCCACAATTGCAATAGTGACTAGTTCTTTTATTGTACCCGCTAATCAGCTATCGAACTATCAGCAAATTCAGAGGTCGTCCTTTGAAACTGAAGAAAAGACACTGCTCTCTACTCAACTTGTCCAACCAAGTCCTGCAGGAGTGGATGGCAGACTGTATGAACGCAATTCCCCTCATCTACAAAACACAATCACCCACTTGCAAAATTGCAGTTTTGATGACAGGGTTTAATAAAGGCACATCTTTTCTCAATTCAGTGTCTAGCCTAAGGCACCTTGACTTGAATGTGTGATAAAATGCCTTTGCTTCATGAAAGCCAAATTCGAGCGGCACACGACCACTGTGTGCAACCAAAGTAAGTGGCACGATGCTCAAATAATCAGACAAGAAAATGTATGCCTCTACATCCATATGATTCAGTCAATCTCTCTCGCATATTTTCCCAGCTATAAATTCTAATGCCAAGTGACTAACAGTTAAGAAAAACGTCAATCAACCAACCTGGTCATTGCTTGTACCCACAATCAACACAAATTTGGGGGGAAACTAACAAGCAATGCATGTTTCTCAACATTTCCCATCACTTGCAACACTTGTTGGCGCTTCGAGGATTACATGTTCCTAAACTCTCAGACTAATCCACTTTAGTTGCAAGTGATGGGACCTGACGATATACTTCCATTCGTCTACAACACAATCCAATTCTAGCCAAATAAGCTATTTTGGTAGGGCTACGAAAAGCTTGTGGTTGTATCATAAGAAAATCCAACTTATTAAACTAAAACATAAGGTACTTGCAATTCAAACAAATGCTCAGTGCCATAAAAAGCAGTGAAGACGTGAATTAAAAATCAAGGATGGGATTAAGAAGTGAGAAAAACATAGGGGGCAAAAAAAATAGCATCACCCTTACTCTTTTCGTTCTCATAATTCTCTCATTATCAATACTTAAAAACATTTCATCCAAACTACATTTTCCAGAAACTACTCACCACTCTAAAACATTTGTCCACTTACTAAATTCCCACTCCCCCCACCTCCCGCCGGCACACTACTGCAAGCTATAACAAAAGAAGAATGTATATGGAATATTTTGAAAGAAAGGGCTCTAGCCTCGAAGCAAAACTCACATAAACCTTAGTATAAAATCTATCCACTTAAATGAATTTCTTCACAAACTGATAGCTGTTTCAAAAACCACGACTTATAAGCCTGAAAGAGAAGTAAAGCTACCAAAGGAAAGAACTAATAAAAAGACAAGCTTAGATTATACATTCTAAGATGACTAGAACCCCTCTCCAATCTGAAGATGAACATAAATGACAGCGTAACACCTTCCCAGAAGACCTAATATCCATATTTTTACTGCCGCCCCAAATACACACACCGGTAATATACGATGTGAAGGGCAGTACATATCCATATTCATCCCTACCTGCAACTACATAATTAGAGTAACATGAAAGGAAACAGTCCCATGCCAACGGATCTATTGACATACTTCGAATTCCATTAGAAGAAAACAAGATCTGACATTAAACATGACCATGATAGCAACGTACATGATAAAGGGGTTCAAACATTGGCTAATATGAGAGACTAAAGTAAAAGAATTGCGTAATAATCGCCCCAAGTAATACAGACTCGAATTCATGATATTGTATATAGTGAAAACTAAACAAAATTTGATCCATAAATTTGCAACATCTTCAGATACAATCTACATTATGAGAGACCAAACCCTAATCAAGTTATTACAGATCACAAGAATTCAAACTGAAGAGAATACAACAGGTAAGCCTAACCCATAATCAAATTGCCGTCAGTTCCTTCATCAGGCAGCGCCGGATCTGGCTATACACGCCCTGCAATTGCAGGACCTGCGGCCGAAGCAGCGGAGGCGGCGTTACCAAGAAATGACAGGAATCCTCCATTAACAGGTTCTTGGTCGTCAAGGAAGAGATCCTCTGGAACCCTAAACGCACCGTGAATGCAGACAATTGCAAATCCAATCAACGACGCCGATATCAGGAGCGATCCAACACTAGTGAGGAAAACCACAATCACAGTCAGAACCCCCAACCCGACCAACGTTTCGAAATCGGAGAAAGTACGGCCGCGAATAACCAACGGCTGGTCGGAAGGACGGAAAATGTAGAGAAAGCTCCAAGCCGCGAGGAGTGAAAGAAGAGTCAAGAGAGAAAACGGGTGGGAAAGGAGAGAAAAGGCTAGAACCAAGGCAAAGAGGGTAATGTAATTGACACGGAAGTATGAGAAGTTCTTGCGGATCCGGGAATAGGCTTCGGTAAGGTTATCGGGACGAGCCATTGAACTCCGATCGACAAGCTCCGACCATGGGCGACGGTGGGAAAAGCCTTGGCGAACGGAGGAGGTTAAACGAGAGAGAAAAGCGCGGAAGGCAGGGGTGGCGATAGGTGGCTGCGAAGGAGCTCCGGCGGAGGAAATCGGAAGTGTCGGTGGAGAAGCCATCGAATCGGAATCGAAATCGAAATCGAGAGTGAGATCTGGCGGTGCGATGTGATATTTACACAGTGGGTTTCCAGAGGAATTTATTTGTTCGTTTGGAGACCCGCGGAAGAAGATGATTTACGCGGTCGTGATCAATATTATATATAGGGTTTAATCTCTAAGTTTTTTGACTAAGGTCAATCCCTTAATCCAATTACACCCTATTTTTACACCGATACGCATTTCTTAATCAACTACGACGACTACACTCCTCTCCTTCTTTATTCTCTTTTCATCACCACCATCGACGTTTGGATCAGTTTTCGTTCAAACATAGACTATTTAAGCCATGGAGAGTTAAAGTTCATTCTTTCCAACATTTATATCAAAATTTATCCATAATAAATTTCAACGTCATTCAAAAAAAAAAAATAGTAAGTTTAAACTATTAAAGAAAGGTAGGGTACAACCATAAAATTGTATTAAATAGGATAGTGAATCAATGATTAAGATAAGATAAACTTTAGTACTTCAAGAAATGCTAAATTTATAAAATTCGTTTGGAAAAAAAAAGATACCACTTACAAATCTATTTAAGAAGATGCCTTGGTTAACTAGCTTGCTTGTCCCCTAATACAGATCCACCCCAAAATACATTATTCTTCTAATTTCATAAACGGCTTTCACAATTTTTAAATTCAAACACTACAAGTTATCTTACTATATACCTAATAATTATGGAATCACTAAATCTCTTCCGCAAAATTACATGACAATTCGAAACAATTGCAAGCATCTCTCGGACAGACTCCTACTCCTACTATGATTATTTATATCTTAGAAGTTGGGGTAATGTTTCCTCTCCTATTTTTAGAATTCGTTGAGGTTTTATATGAGTGAAGAGTTCTCCCTAATTTAAAAAGTGTCTATCTATCAAATCCAATCTTATCAAGTTCTTAATCTATTTTTTCTCTTCATTCTTGATCCCAATGGTCTCAATAATCACCTTTTTCAATCGACCTTCCCTCCAAGAATCTTTGCTTTGCTTTGCTTTGCTTTACTTCCATCCATGAAAGAGCCTACAAATATGGGAGAAGGCACCATATTTTTCCTTACAGAGAAAAGACAGAGAGTTCAATACTTGCATGTTGCCATGGCCTCCTGTAGCTTTCCTGATGTTTATTTCTGGATACAGAACCTACCACCACTTTCTCAATGGAAAACTACTTCCATTTCTACATCCATATGCTCTTCAAGTTCAACCAACTCCTCGCTCAAAATTGTTGCAGCAAAAACCCTTCATTCCCCAACCATTACTTTCTCAGTTACTGCAGATTTCAGTTTTCATATCTCCCTTTGGACATCACAACCATTGAAGACCAGCACAAAAACCTCCAACTTATTGAACAAAGAAAGCATGTCCACTCTCTTGCTTAATTGTGTTCGTGATGTTCTTTACTATGGCTCAAACCATAAACAGAATTCTAGCCATAACCTTCTCAAACTTGACATCACTTCCTCTTTGAAAGAAATCTTCAATCACATATTTCTTACCCTCATATTCCTAATCTGCATCTATGAAGCTCCGATCGACCTCCGTTCAAATTGTCTTGGGACTCTCAAGCATCATTTGGCAAATTGTACGTCACGGCAGACATCAAAGGTGCTTATGAAACTGTTGGGGTCTAATCTAGAACAACAATGGATGAGGTCAATAAACCTTGCTATCACCAACTGGATATTGGAACTCAAGGCCAAGGGTCGTACTTTGAAAACACCCTCACCTTTGTTCTCTTATTCATTTTCGACCTATGGGCTGTGGAAAGTTCAACTCTATTGCCCTATCATTGCAATGGATAATATTGAGAACTCAAGCAATCCTTCAACTGATGAAAGATTGCAGTTCTCTTTAAATTATCACCAGCTTGAAGGGGTTCTGCAATTCAATTACAGGGCCGTGACTCGAGAAAAGTGGATTGATCTGAGGGTGCACGTTGATAACATAAGGTATATTGAATTTTGAAGTTAGAACTATCTTTCTAATTGCTAAGAATAAATTCATTCCCTTTCTTACTGACAGTAACAATTAAAATAGAGGCAATTTCTTGAAAAGAAGATGAAAATCTGATCTTACAAGCTATTAGTATTCAAGATTCACACGTATCTTTGACAATTGAGTTTAAAATGTACACTGGATTTTTACAGGTGTGACATCATTCGGCTTGTGAGCGAGACTCTCTTATCAGAGCGAGGAGTTGGTGGATCAGAAAAGCATTTTCCATCACGAATTTCTCTACAACTCACTCCAACTTTCCATACAAACATAATGAGTGTCTCAGTAAGCAAATCCTCAAGCAACCCCAAAGTTGATATCGGAACTGAAAAAACCTTTGAGGCTGGATTTGAATCTGCAACACCGTTCCCAGGCCTCAAATTAGCAGTAGGGGAGACTGTAATTGTGAGCTTGAAGCCATGGAAATTTGAGCAGTTCGTCCATGGCAATGCTGCAACCCTTAACTGGTACCTTCATGACAGTTCGGATGGGAAAGAGGTGGCCTCCACCAAGCCATCAAAACTTACACTCATAAACCCTAAAGCTTGGTTTCGAGACCGTTACTCGAGCGCCAACAGACCTTTTAACAAACAGGGAGGGGTCATATTTGCTGGAGACGAGTATGGAGAGAGTGTGTGGTGGAAGATTGATGGAAAGGCAAGAGGGAAAACTATGGAGTGGGAGATTAGAGGTTGGATCTGGTTAACTTATTGGCCAAACAAACACAAGACATTTTACACCGAAACTAGGAGGCTGGAATTCAAAGAGATTCTCTATCTTTCAATTCCTTAACTCATAAGAAATCATTAGAAATAGACAGACCAATAGTCTGAGATCACTTTCAGACTTGTTCACTTTCGTTCTTAGTGACAAACATGACAGATCTCTAATTTAAACGTGTTGCCAACTATATTTGACTACATATGGGAATTTCATCATCAGTAAAAGTTTGTATAGGTTCTTTGATAATTGTGTTTTATTGAGTCACTTTAAACTTTCAATTTCGTCCCTTTTTTTTTTATATATATATATAAGAAACAACTACATAAATGATAGAAAATTACAACAAAAGTAGGAAAATATGGAAGGCCCGCTTCAAAGGAGTTACAAAATACTTTTCAACTTACAGAGAATAGAATGAAAAAAAAGGGAGAACGTTCATACCAAGAAACACTCTCACCTTTGTTCTCTTATTCATTTTCAAAACATAGGCTATGGAAAGTTCAACTCTATTGCCCAGTCATTTTAATGGATCGCATTGAGAACAAAAGCAGTGCTTCAACTGATGAAAGATTGCAATTTTCTCTAAATTAGCACCAGCTAGGAGTTCTGCAGTTCAATTACGAGGCTGAGGTTCAAGAAAATTGGATTAATCTAAGGGTTCACGTTGACAACATGAGGTATTTTGAACTTCGAAGCTAATTTCTGCCTGCTAAGAACGAATTTCTTCTCTCACCCACTAATTGTAATAAAAGAACTACCATCAAATTCTTGAAAAATAGATACCAAACCGATCAAGCTATTAGAAGTAATCGATGATAAGGATTCTCACGTATCTATGACAATTGAGTTGAACTTCTCTCTCGCACTAAAAGTAACGACTAGACGCACTTTCTAGATAACTTAATTCCAAAGCTGTTCAAACAAGCTGATTCATATTAAAGATTCTCACGTATCATTGACAAAGGAAATTAAAACGTACCTCCCTGGATTCTCACAGGTGCAACATCATCCAACTCGTGAACGATACGCTGCTGTCCAAACGAGGAGTCGGCGGATCCAAAAAGCATTTTCCATCACGAATCTCACTGCAACTCACTCCAAGTCTACAAACAAACATAATGAGCGTCTCAGTGAGAAAATCACCAGACAACCCTATAATAGAAGTCGGAACTGGAAAAACACAAGAAGCCGGATTCGAAGGCTCAAATCCTTACCTAGGCCTAAAATTAGCAGATGAAGAGATCGAAACGGCGAGCTTAAAGCCATGGAAGTTCCAGCAGCTCGTCCACGGCAGCACCGGAATCCTCAACAGGTACCTCCACGTCAGAATTTCTCGAGAGCTTTCCGGCAGTGCAAGAAACAGGGAGGGGTGATATTCGCCGTAGACGAGTATGAAGAGAGAGTTTGTTGGAAGATTAACGGAGAGGGGAGAGGGAAAAGCATGGAATGGGAGATCAGAGGTTGGATTTGGTTAGCGTATTGGTCAAACAAACACACGACGTTCTACACTGAAACCAGGAGGCTGGAGTTCAAGGAGATTCTCCCATTCCATGCTTTTTCCCTCTCCCCTAAACCCTAAACCCTAAACCAGGAGGCTGTAGGCTGGGGTTCAAGGAGATTCTCCATCTTCTCAATTCCTTGGCTTGGAAGAAATCGGTGGAAATGGAAGGAGAATATTGAACAAGGCTTCCGCGCCAACATGGCATTAAAAAGGAAAGGTTACGTTAATAAAAATATAAATTCCCAATTTTCAGTAAAATAATTTACAAACATTATGTTTTTCATTTTTTATATAATTTATATTAAAAAATGTAAAACATTACTATTAAATTTAATAATATTTCATAACAAAAAAATATAATATGATATTTATGAATTTTTAAAATTTAAATTTCAATATTATAACAAACTCCGAATAAGAATAGATTAGGACGAGAAATATAATTTTCATCTTCAACTCTATTTAGCTAACAAAAATAATTTCATAATACCTCCTTTATTCCACATCCAAAATAGGAACTTTTTTTTTCCTATAATACCCTTGACCCTAAACTTCAAAAATGGGATAGAACTCCCACAGCCATTATTCCTTACAAAATTTAAATAAATGGCCGTAAAAAAGTTCCTAAATTTACCACCTTACTAAAATGGCTTTGGCTAGTGATTTATAAATGTACAAAAAGCTAAGGAAACAGAAAGAAAAGAAGGGGATTTTGTAAAGGCTATGCTCCATTTCATCTGCCCATCGCTATAGACCAAGATCCCAGTGGAGCATCATGAACAAGGGCGCTATCCATCATCCTTCGCCCGCAAAATCTCCCGCTAAACTGTTGCTGCTGCACCAACAACACCGTCGACGTGCTCCCAAAGTCCGGTGACGCAAGTATATCACCGACCACCCCAAGCTCTGGACACTCACTCCATTGGTGAAGGCCGTTGAGAATGGGATTGTCTTCGTGTCGTAGACCGGTAATTATTAAGTCGAAGCAATCCTCCATGCCTCTAATGGACGCAGCCATTCCCGCGCCGTCTCTCACCATCTCTTCCACCACCACAAAATGCTCGTGTTCCATGTTGGCTTGTCGGAATTCATGGATCAACTCAGAGTCAAGCTTCCTATTCTTGTTGTTTTCAGCTCCAAACAGAAGGAACCGAATGACGGTTAAGTCGACAGTGTGATGCCTTGCCATTCGAGTTCCTAATGCCAACGACTCTGCATCGTCTGGGCCACCAATGAACAACACAGCAATATGATATGGAGATCGTGCAGTCAAGACAGAGGCATACTTCGTCAAAACTCCCCTATCTACCAGAATTGCAACTGAACAAGGCGCCATTTCAAGAATTTGAATGTTCATATTCTGAAGGGCTCGGTTCACCTTCCCAATTGAGCCATCGATCGCCCACTGCTTGTGGAAAGGAAGGATGGCAATGGTGGCCCTCTTGTCAAATGCGAGTCTACAAACGTCATCGTGCATAAGGTCGTAAGGTGATATCGCGGTGAAAGCATTGACAGTGGCACAGCCTGCATTGTGTTCTTCATATTGCCTCAAGGCATTGATAATGTGGACTGCTTTGGATGAAGATCTCTCGAGTGTGCAATCCGGTTGGTGTGCTATAAGAACTGGGTTGCTTCTGCCAATGAGCTCGACCAAAATGAGAGCTATTGCGGCCAAGGGGCTGTCTCTTGAAGCATAGGACACTTCAAGGAGGTTAATGATCGTGGGGATGTTGTCCTGATGGTGGATGCAGACCAAGATTCGGAGCTCGGCCTCCGGCTTCAAATGTTGAATTGTACATCTTGATGACGAGAGGTAGCGTTTAGATGGATCATAAAGATGTTTGATTAATGGTGTTATGATGCCTGTTATAACCAACATTGAGATAACAGCAAAAGAAAACTCTTCGTCTGAAATCACCTACAGAAGAAATGTAACAAAAATAGATGATGTTCTGTTCAGAGTATATACATTGAATAACTTGATAGACTCGATAAACCGCTTCATTCTAGCTTCAATTTTGGCCTTCCTAGTGTTAAAATATTGATCATAGTTGCAATGATTTGGTTAAATCTCCTAAAATGTTCAAGTCATTATCAGATGCGCATTTTCTTTAGACATGCATAGAGAGGAAATGACCTAAAAAAATAGTGGAAATCAAGTAGGTTGCAGGGTAAAGAAGAACAAGGATGTACAAAACATGGGAGTTTTGGAGATTGGGATTTCTAATAAACAGAAAGGGTTTGCAAGCATCTCATCATCTATCTTAGTCACGTCTAAGAAATACATGTCAACGAAGAAAGCTGGGCCGGGTTTAGATCAAAACGAGTAAAAAAAGCTCAAACCATAGTTTAGTTTATTTTTAGTTTTAACAGATCATTCTATGCATGAATCGGTCAAAATAAAGAGGGTTTTTTGGCTCATTACCGCACTTTGCTTCCAGAAATTGAAAAGGATCAACTGCAAGAACCCTCTAGCATTCAGAATGAGGCCAAGAACCAAAGAATCTCCACGTCGCAGATTGATGTATTTTGCTGGCAACATCACGGCTCCAATCTTAACAGTGCAGGAAAACAGAAGAACGATCCCAACAACCCAAGTGTCCTGAATTGTGATAATGAAGATATTGGTCTGCAATCCACTAACAGCAAGAAAAGTTGGATAAAATAGCCTTGAAGCTAAAGTTTCCAATTTGGACACAATGGTAGAACCCAATGGAGGACCATCTGGCACAACCAAGCCAAGAACCAATGGCCCCAGGAAATAGTGTTGCCCTATGATCTCACTCAGAAACCCACTGAGCAGGACAAGAAGGAAAATCCAGATAACAAAAATCTCGTTGATGAACTTCCGGTCTTGAAATCGCTTATGTATATGCATAACTGCAGGCTTGACGATGTAGATGATGGCAGCAATAAGTGCACATGATGATAATAGTGAATAAAATGGACTATTTCCGCTGGCTTTCTTGTTCTCTGTGAATGATAAGGCAGCAACGGTTGTGAGAACGCCTAATACGTCACAGAACATGGACGATGAAAGTGCGAGGCGGCCGATATCTGTGTTCAAGATCTTGAGCTCGGTTAACAGACAAGCAATAACAGGAGAGCCGATCAAGGTTTGAGACAAAGCTATGAAGAAAAGAGAGTTGGCGATGTTGCATTCCACTGGGCAGGATTGCTTCAGAATTAAGATAAATATGATTGGTAATGTCAAGGTGAACAGAAACACGAACAAACCTACAACCATTGCTTGTCGCCCTGGCCACAACATTACTGCCCCATCAATCTTCACTCCCACGACAAAGAGGAAGAACATGAGGCCAAAAGTTCCAAAAGTTTCCAATATCATATTCCCTCGTTGGGGGAACAACGCTTTTGCTATCTCATCTTTTTGCCCCAAGAACGATGGACCCAAGATGATGCCTCCCTGCAAGTAACATTTTCGACACAACCAATTAAGAATGCATCTAAGAGACCAGATATACACACACTAATTTATAAGCTCAAACTTCTTGAGTTTGACATTGATATTAACATAACATCATCAAAATAGGAAATCGTACATTTGAACCTCAGCAATGTCATTTCTTCTCATATCGATATTAGTAGTTTACACATGATCTCCAACCTCGCGCGTTTACAAGTGCGTTAAGCTTTTTGAGTATTACTGATTTAAGAAGGAATCAAAGCGCATTTGATGTGCAAACCTAACAACGTCACATTGGATTTTCACGAATCAAATGAAAAGCCAGGTCACATATCCTCTAACTATTCGCCATTAGTTTCTAGCTCGAGGACGCATAGTAATCTACTGACAAGTTCATTTAGAACATTTATCAAATACGAAGAGTGCATCCACAGATTGAGCAAGAAATTCATAAGGAAATGCGATTGTGATTAAACATATATAGAGATCATGGATTGAGGAAGAAACTTACAAAGATATGAGAGACGACGGTGGATTGTCCGAGCGGTTTGAGGATGGCTTCCATAAGTTGGGAGATGAAGGAAATTGCAGAGAGCTGTAATAAGAGGAGAGAAGAAGGGGATTTTGCAGAGAAATGGAATAAATACCGCCATGGATCATCTGCATTAAATCTCGGCATAGTTTCACACACATAAGTTTGGTTCACGGGAGCCATAGACATTTACAAGAACCAACCATGAAGAAGAAAAAAAAGAAGAATGCAAGGAGAGGGAGAGGGAGAGGGAGAGGGAGAGAGAGAGCAAATGGAGGGATGGTTTTCCAAGTGTCGTGGATTTATTACAACTCTTTCACCATAATTTTCTAATTTTCGTTGTTGGGAGTTTATGGTTTCAAAGTTAACTTCAATATTTTTTTTTTTTTTAATAAGAGTGTAGAAATCTCTCTAGAACTGATCCATTTTAAAATTGCAATACATAATAGACTAAAACGAACAAATTACTATTCTATTGATAAATAAGAAAAAAATGTAAAAATTAATGTCCCAATGTGATTTACACTGTTTAAGAAAAATGAGTATAATACATATACAGTAAGATTTGTAAGATTTATTAGAGTGAGAGTGACAATCGCATAGTGGGTTTCGTGTATTTAAATGTAATGTACACTAAACTATGTATACGAAAGTGAGGTTTTGTGTTCTACGAAAGTGATGTAGATGTACTATATACTAATTGCATGTATATGCATTTCTTGACCTCGTAGCAAGTGTCACTTACCATGTATTTTTTATATTCAATTTTTGTTCGGTTATATATATATTATTTATTTGTTATATTTATGATTGAAAGTTTAATTTGAAATTTTTCATTAAAAGCTTTGGAGCTTTTAACTTTCCCTTAGATTTAAAAGAGAGTGTACTACTAAAGCCATGAAAATTTCAAATTTCCCCATTACAAACCCTAGTTTTCAATTCCATCGATCTGAGCTCGAGGAGAAGATCGGCCAAAATCAGCACGATAATACACAAATCCTCCACATCGATTTGAGCTCTGGGGAGAAGATCGAGTAACGCCAATTACAAACAATGTGTACTCAGTATAGGGTGAATACCTACCATGTGACTTGTTTCCATCGTGGATAAATTTTTGGTTCTCTATATGAAGCAATGCTGAAGTAGCATGACATTACACGGCCTATGACGAAAAACGTACATATCTATCAAAGGCAAGTAATATTATTTTTAATCATTCAAAATCAATTCAATGTTTAATCTACACTCATCAACGTTTGCGCTTAATAGCGAGAAACACACCTATGTCCACAACACACAGAAAACTCGACACAAAACTCTTTTCTCAAAATGCATGATCTGTTGCATCTGCAGTGTGAAAGACTATAATTTATTGTTCATAACAGTGAGCTAAAAGGGCTGGGGTTGTGGGCTTCTTCAAACCCAGAGCAGCCATGGGAATGGAGAAAGGTACAGCAAGTATTAACTTAGAGATGAAGTTAGCCTACCAAGGAAAAGCAGAAAAGGACCCAAAACCAACCCAAACAAGGTTTCCTCTGTCTTTCGTATTTATCATCATCTTCAACATTGCTTGTAAATTTGTAACTGAAAAATGAAAAGAAATAGATAGTTATAATTGTAGTAAAATCATATGATTCACTTTACAAGTCTCCTCTGGTTTAATGATATGATTATTCTGCAAATACTAAAATAGATATCTCTTGAAGTTTAGAACCAAAATACTAAAATAGTCATTTTGTTCCCTTTGGACTATTCACTTCCAATAGCTAATATCAGCTCCATGCTGGTGTACGCATGTTGATACACGTTTTCAAAGTTGCTCATTTATCATATAGACTAGATGAGCACGGACTAAAATGATTATTCAGTAAATACTAAGATATTTCTTTAAGTTTAGGAACCAAAATGGAATAAATTTAAAGCCAAATAACACCAAAAATACTATTTTCCTTCTTAAATATCTAAACCATGCTTATATGGGATTAATAGGTAAATAATGGACAACATAACCTAGATAAGAGCTACTACGAGAAAAAATATAACGGCTCAAGCCCATTACTAATAGATATTGTCTTCTTTGGGCTTTCCCTTTCGAGTTTTCCCTCAAAGTTTCTCAAAAATTTTTAAAACGCATCTACTAGAGAGAAGTTTCCACACCCTTATAAAGAATGTTCCGTTTTTTCTCCCCAATCGATATGAGATCTCACAAAAAGATCTATATATAAATGAAAGAGATCCATCCAAAGGGGTGAGAAACACAAAAGAAATTTCACTTTTATACATATTAACATGGAAGATGACTTGTTTTCCCTTTTCTTTCTTATTAGCACGTCTATGCTGCTGAATTTCACATAAATGAGATAAAACCATATGAAGGGTGAATTCTACTACAGAAAGGTTCAAATTCAGAACAAAACTTACTCAGATTACTGAAAGGATCATCTGATGTCATCTTGTTTCACTCTCCTATTGCTTGGTTCTGAATCAGTTGCAAGGTAACCTAAAGAACAAAAAAGTTAGAAAGCAACGCTGAAAGATTGCTTCCCAAACAGACTCTGTAGGAGTGGAATACCTGGATGTCTGTCGCTTACTTCACCAACTGGTGCCTGACCTTTCGAGGCCCGATTGATCCAAGCGAGCCCCTTTGTTCAGAAATCAGACTTTTATTTAAACAAAAGGACAGGATTTGTTTTCTCCCCATGAAAGTTTGTCATGTTTAAAAGCATAAAATCAAACATTAACTTGATTTTGAAGCCTTAAAAACATGTATTAGAGAATCCGAGTGGTTTTGAACAAGAAAAATTATTTTAAACCATTTCAAAATCACTCTCGAACATGTATTTTAAGAGTCAAACCCGAGACACATTAAGCCGAACTAAATTTCACACTTGCAAAGACTCTCTCCAACCCCACCAAAAATTTGCTCATCTCAATTTCGAGAATCATTTTATTTCTATTGAGCCAAATATTCCACTTACTAGAGCAAAGACCAATGCCCACCAAAAACAACACAGCCTATAATAACATTACCAATTAGCAACTCAAAATACACACCAATTGGATGGAATTCTTGAATCTTCATCCCAAAATTACCTACATTCTCTTAATCAGCAGGCTAACCGTATTTAGCAATCCTTCAAGGAACAATCGAAACTCATTTTTCCCTCACAAATTGCACAAGAATATCCTCTCTAATTCCTCAAATACATCCGCAAGAAAGAAATTCACACGAAATCTCAAAATGTAGAAAGCAAAAAGAAACGCAAACCTTCTTAGTGTCCTTAGGAACTCCATAGCCGGAGCAAAACATCTGCCCTACCAAGACCTGCATCGCCGGGTCGCCAGCGCTGGCCTCCTTGAGCGTGTCCTGAAACCACCGCTTGACGCAGTCCGACACCACATCAGCCAACGGAACCCGATTCTGCTCCTCCATATTCTTCTTCTTTGGCTCCGAGATGACTCGGACGGTATCGGGAATCGGAGTTTCGGACGGCGAAACTCGGATCCTAGACTTGGGCTTGGGCGCGGCTGATTGAGGCTTCTTCGAGAAGACAGCGATCTTGGCGAATTGCTGAAGGTGAGATGCCGACGGAAGCGATTTCGCCATCAAACAAAGGGAATTTGCGCGGATGGAAACCGCCAGTTTTTTGCGTCTGCAAATCGTAGGCTCGCTTCTCTCTTGGATTCAGAAAAAGATTTGGTTGAGGAGGGGGATGGTACTATTTCAATTTTTCCTTTTTATAATTTCATTATTATTATTACGTTAAATTAATCTCAAAAAAGTTCTATTTTTACTCTTGATTTTTTTTTTTAAATATCTTTCAACTTTAAAATTGTTTTGATTTTCCACTAAAAAAAATTATAAGACATATTTCATCTAAAAAGTATTATTAAAATCATTTACACACATGAATTTATATAAATAATGATATAAATGATTTCGTACATTAATTTTAATTTTATTTTAACAGAAAATTCCTTTAATAATATTTAAAAAAAAAAAAATTTGATAGTTCAAAGATAAAAATAAAACCTTTTAAATTTTAAATGCTTAAAATTCAATTCCATTTTTGTATAATTTAATGTTATATCACAAATTTATTATCCCAGGAACGTAATAGATTTTTAAAATTTCTTAAATTTTTTGTTTGAGATATTTGACATTTTTTTAAAATTTATAGACTAACCTAATATTCAATTTTATGTTTAAAATATTTTTTTTAATTTATTATTGAATTATTAAACAGAAACCATTTTTAAAGTTTTAGAAAATTTGAAATACAAACTTTAAAAATTAAAAATTAAAAATTAGATCCTATATAAATTAACTTTTTTTTAATCTATTTTTTTCATTTATTTTTATCCCCTAAAATAGACATCAGACAAGATATAAAACCTTTATTTTATTTTTTTAATTAAAAAAATAGTATTTGTGATGTCCCACACATTGGTTGGGAATGAAGTCTAAAAGAAAAGTGAGAACAATAACTGCTAAAGGTGGATCTAGGTCAATCCATAATTCAATTTGAACTCATTAAAGCATCACATCATTCATTCAAAGATTGTCTCTATTACTATTCTCAGAATTTAAATTCTAAGCTTCAAACAACTTTGAATAATAAAATAATTTTTTTTTTTTTTTGTAGAGATTTGGTTTCCAAAATGAGAATAACACTCAGAAGCTCACAGCTTAGAGGATGAGACTTTATTCATCAAAATCCAAACCCAAACCCAAACACCAAGTCATTCAATAATGAATAGACAGTCGATTGCCAAAACATCTGGACATAGAACACACACACACACACACACACACACAGCCATAGAAAGAATCTAAAAAACAAATCATCCTCTTTAGGTAAGATCGTCCTCTTCCAGCTCTTTGGCTTTCAGCTTGTCCTTCACCCTTAAAAGAAGGGTCGTCTTCAATGGATCCTGTCAATAGTTTGTGCACATTAATCTTTACCATTACGAATGAAAACAACAAAGTTATTTCAAACGATCAAACTGCACTTGTGTGAAGACTCCAATCGAACGGTAAGAATGTTATTTCACAGTAGGTAGTAAGTTACGGGGGCAGGAGGAACATGCGTGTGTGTGGGGGGTTGGGATTTCAGCATGGGGTGTGATTGTGCTGTATATTGAAGAACTATCAATATAACACAATTTGGTATTTGTTTCCCTCTGGTTTGTGTGTGTTTTCGTGTTATTTTCAGGTGATTCCGAGTTGGATACCGAACATTCTCTAGATCGAACGTAAGATTTTCAGGACGTAACTTCGCAGATTACATATCAATAACATAGCATTCAAGTCGACTCATGAAGTATGATCTTACCAGTGTGGTCATGCTATCAAATTCCTTGACAACATCAGTAAATTTTGCTACATCTTCCTCATCAATGGCAGATGCAATGTCCTGAGGTAAAATTATCAGACGGATAAACGAACAAATATAAGAGGTTTTCTAGTCAAGAAGCACTACAATTTCATGCAATATATGACAATGCCTTCAATCAATGAGCAAGCCGGACAAGAAATGAGTAGAACCATCAAACCTCTTGTTCAACATATATGAAAAAACATTAAATATGCAAAAGAAAGAATAATAAATCAGAATTCAGGGGTGAACGTAACGCACCGCTAAAAGCTTATATTCACGTGACCCTGAAAATGTAGGATCTAGGTCCTGCAGAAGGGATGTAATATGGTAAGGACAGAAATCACGAGGACGAGATGAGACAGTCATGTCCGATAACTACCTGATAGTTATCCAATGCTCTGGTAATAGCAACGATATCGCCTTTGCAAAGCTGGCAAATTCCAGCATTAAGAAGATGCCCTTTCACTCCATACTTGAGCAAGTTACTCTTCAGAGAATACTTCGCTATCTCTTCGTAGATATCGATTGCTTTCTGATACCTACAAATTATGTTACCATTCAAAAATGTTTTCATAAGATAAATGTTTGCACAATGTCAAAATAAATGGATAATATGAAACCAGAAGAAACCATCAAAGTAGAAGAAAACTTGGTAATGCTTTAAATGTGTCAATCATAAGGATGCAACACAATTTATCAATACTACACTATCTTACTGTTCCAACTGTGCAGCAAATTGTGCAACTTTCTGCTTGCATTGATTTGCTGAAGTTGTCACTTCTTCATTTTGGAAAAGGTCAGCAGCTTTTTCAAAGTAATCGATTGCTTGCTCGATATCCTGTTCGGACTCGAACAATTCAGCAATTTCCTGCACACACGAGAAGGTAAATCCAAGTCATGGATTGCATATGAGGCATTTGTTTAATTCTCTGTCAATCAAATGATGAAAGAATTCTGCAATAAGAAATTGCCATGTGTAACAGTTCAAGCCCACTGCTAGCGGATATTGTCTTCTTTGGCAGGTTACTATCGCTGTCAACATCACAGTTTTAAAGCGTGTTTACTAAGGAGAGGTTTCCATATCCTTATGAATAATGTTTTGTTCTCCTCCCCAATTGATGGGGGATCTCACAATCCACCCTCCTTCGGGGCTCAGCATTCATGCTGGTAAACCGCCCAATGTCTGGCTTTGATACCATTTGTAACATTCCAAGCCCATCCCTAGCAGATGCATTTTAAAAGCCTTCCGGAGAAGCTCGAAAGGGAAAGTCCAACGAGGACAATATCTGCTAGCGGTGAGCTTGGGATGTTACATAATGTATGATACTTCATAGTGTCTAATCAAGAATTAGCAGCCACAAGAATAGGTTCCAAAAGAAAAGAAAAGAAAAAAACAATTCACAGCATAACCTCGTGAAGTAACCGAACATTTTAGATGATCAAAGAAATCAAATAATAAGCATTTCACGTAGCAGAATAACAATGAACCTTGTAATATCTTGCAGCCATATTGAGTCTTCCAATGTCACAAAACAAATTCACTGCCTGCTCTATGCAAGATATGGCCTCTGCATCAAGATAACAATTGGAAATAAGCAATTTAACCAACAATAACGTCGATAATTGAACTAGCATTGTTTCACTCGAACAGTTCGCGTTGAAGTATAGAATGATCAATTATGAACCAGTATTACCTCTAACAGATGTTTTCTTATAGCAATTGCCCGCATCAATATAAGCTTGAGCTGCTTCATGTTTGCTTTCCATCTTTATAAGAAAAACAATGCATTGTTCAGTAAAAGAAACCGTGTACAACAAAGGAAGACGAAGCCATTGATCTCACAAACACGAAGCACCAACCTTCAGATGACAATTTGCTAACTTTATATACGTTGATCCTGCTTTATCCCCTGGAAAACCACATCCACAGAGATTAGAAGGCAATGGATGGCAGGAAACTGAAATAGACAATAAGAAATGCTTTGTTTCCTTCTCCAACCGATGTGGGATCTCACAATCCACCTCCTTGGGGGACCAGCATCCCCATTGGCACACCTCTTGGTGTTTGGCTCTGATATTATTTGTAACCGCTCAAGCCCACTACTAACAAATATTGTCCGCTTTGGCTCGTTACGTATCGCTATCAGTCTCACGGTTTTAAAACGTGTATGTTAGGGAGAGGTTTCTACACCCTTATAAGAAATATTTCTTCCCTCTCCAACCAACGTGTGATCTCACAAGTTTTATTTTACCTCCTAACTTTAAACTCCAAAGATTATATATAAGAATGTAAAACTTTTCTCCTCATCATGAAAATTTTTGGCTCCGCCCCTACCAAGCATGCAACAATGCCGATCAATCAAAAGTTGAAATCATGGTGCTCTTGATTTCTAAGCAAAAACTCTCGCATAACCCAAAAAAACCGCCAGAAAACGGGAAAAACGATATCATAAAAGAAGCAAAAAGAAACAGAACACAAGTAGCCCGCCACAATTAAATTACGCATCAAAATGATAAAAACAATGAAACAACAAAAATCCTGACCGTCCTCATATGCAGCAGCGTTTAGGGATAATGAAATTAACAAAACAGGGAAAGTAATGATCGAACAGAGGGAAATAAAAAGAAGAATCATAAGGTGAAAAGCGATTAGCAATACATGATTTCGAAAGCTTGTAAGAATTGGCGGCTTTATCGAAGAGATCTGCAGCATCATCGTACTTGGAGCCGAACAATCCCCAACCACTGAGCTTCTTTTCTGCTTTGGAATCGAAATCCTCTGCTCTGGCCAAATGATCCGCCATGGACGAATGTGAATCGAGAAACGGGAAAAAAAAAAAAAAAAAAAAAACAGGATTGCGATTAAGAAATGGTTTCTGGTTCTTCTAGCATTGACGGGTTTCTCTCTTAGAAATATCAAAGTTTTGTTGGATCAATCGGTAAGGATTGCTCGTCCTCGTGTTTTCGCGGTGCCTGTTACTGATTCTGGCAGAGGAAACTTTTTTGTCCCTTTGGGCCGAAAGTGTGGAATCTTGAAAACTGCCCAACTCAATTTTAGGAACAACGAATGGGTTGGCTACCTTTACAAATTACACCATCTAATGGTCATTAATGCTCATAAATTATGAGATCAGACTATTCGAATCTCGATCAATAGATAAAAAGATAATAATGGTGGACAATTTTAAAAAATGTTGACTTAAAGTTAAATCACGAACATTTAAATGTCGTAAGATTTAGATTTTTTTAATCGAAGGTAGGGATACTTGTTTGTTTTGAAATGTCGAAGCTTTTAACCAGTTTTAAATACTATTTTTGTGTTTTTTTTTTTTTAAATTAAGTTAAGTGAGATGTCTTTAAGGCTGTAGCCTAGGAGCACGAGCATGCAACCAATCTAGAATAGGCTCTTAGCTTAGCATACTTAACTCATACGTAAGACAGTTTAGTATATTATCTCCACAAACAAGTCCTACTTCGATGTTTTTTTTTAATGAATGGAATAAGTAAAGTTGGATCACGTGAAGTTGAATTTAGTTCGACTAAAACAAAGCTTAGAATTACTGAGTTGAGACAAAAACGCTGCCTACATTCATGTTTTTTATATTGATATGATTGTGTACGTTTGACGAATGATATACATTAAACATGTATTACTTCTTCATATATTTGTAGGGACACATACTTGGGAGAATGATTTCCAGTTTTTTTTTTTTTTTTTGGTCAGGATATATTAGTACTTAAAAAAATCCAATATATATATATATATATATATAAATATAAAAGAACACATAAATAAATAAAAAATCTCACTCATATATATAATTAATTGAATTGCTTTTGATATAATAGAATTAAAACAAAAGCATTTTTTTTAAGTACGAAATAAAAATACTTTTATTATAATTATTTTTCTAAAAATAGCTTAATAAACAACAAAATAATAAATGACTTCTTCCAAACAAAAATGCTATCATTTAATTAATATATTGGATGAAAATACCCGACTCTAACTAAATCTTAGATATCAAGATAATTAATTATGGACTTATGCTATTTTAATTTATTATTTATACTTTTGAATAAATTTTAAAAATATATCTATAAAATTATTATTATTATTATTTAAATAATTTTTTAACACTTAATATATATATAAAAAAAATAGTAAAAAAAGAAAAAAAGATCTCAATCACAATTATTGATGAATGAAGAGAGGCATCTACCCATCATAACGACTACATACATTCTTTTGCGCCTTTTCCTTGAAATTCTTATAAATAAATATGCTTATAAGTAGACAAATTAAAACTAACCAATAAAAATATTTGTTATTTTTTATTATTTTAAACTTTTAATTTTATTAAATTGGAGCATAAATTTTATTTAAAAGAAAATTTTATAGATAAATGGATGCACAATTTATGCACCAATCATTGCTTGCCATTTGTTAATATGCTGACTCAGAAATATTCTGAATTTGAATTTCCTATCTTACCCTTCCCCTATTGGAATATTTTATTCTTTTTTTCTGAGTTCATCATTTTAGTCTTGTCCTCACCACCGAAATGTCGCCAACGCCGGAGCAGGTACCTCTCCTGCCGGAGAAGAGTCAGGCCACGAAAACTGCGTCGGTATCCGGTGCCGTGTTTAATGTGTCGACGAGTATGATCGGCGCCGGAATCATGTCGATTCCGTTCACTCTTAAGGTCCTCGGCATAATCCCAGCCGTTGTCCTGATCGTGCTTGTGGCTTTCATGACCGACTTATCGGTGGAGATTTTGCTGAGATTCACTCACTCCGGCCAGTCGATGACTTACGCCGGCGTGATGAAAGAGTCATTTGGCCCGATTGGTTCTGTTGCTACGCAAGTTTGTGTGATGATTACTAATCTTGGATGCTTGATCATGTACCTGATTATAATAGGTAAATTCTTTTTCAGACTAATTCAAAATCGATTTAAGTCGGAGTTAACTTAGGGTTGGAGATAGTTTGTTGATTTTGGGGAAATGTATCGAGAGATCGGAAATTGTTATTGATTCTCTGTAATATGAACGAATTTCAGAGACTGTTGTTGAACTTAAATTACTTTGCAGTAATTACAGAGTACGATTCGAAAATTGATCTCTGATTTTTCTGTGCGCGTTTGTTCGATTTGTGAAATTTTTAGGGGACGTGTTCTCGGGGAATAAAGGAGGAGAGGAAGTGCATTTAGGAGTACTGCAACAATGGTTTGGAGATCAATGGTGGAATTCGCGAGAGTTTTCAATTCTCTTCACAGTCGTCTTCCTTCTGCTTCCTCTGCTTCTTTTTCAACGCGTTGGTTAGTAATCGGAAACTGATTTTCTTAGTTTGTTGCTCTAATGGCGTCAGATTTGAATGCTGCAATGTGTGTTTCCAGATTCTTTGAGATTCAGTTCGTTTGTATCAGTTGTTCTGGCCGTCGTTTTCGTTGGGATAAGCTCTGTCTTGGCGATTATGGCGATCGTTCAAGGCACAACGAAGAGCACCAGATTGGTACCGGAGCTGGACGATCAAACCTCCTTCTTCGAACTGTTCACCGCCGTACCAGTTCTTGTCACAGCCTTCACGTTTCATTTCAATGGTACGTAAAGGCAAAAGTCTAGTCCGTACAATAAGGAACGATGATTATTTCCACTATTTTTGTTGCTTTTCTTAGAAAAAAAAAATAATAAAATTGATTTTTTAATTTTTTTTTTGAAGGCATGAATTTAGTCCATCTACTTTTTAAATTTCAATTTTATCTTTATATTTTCACATTTTGTTTAAATACTTTAATTTACCTACTTTGTTTAAATACTTTATATTAATTTAATCCATCTACTTTTTAAAAAATATACTTATCAAGTTATTAATGAATTATAAAATGTACATTTAGCGGAAAGGATTTTAAAGAGAAATGGCTTATAATATTAAAAAAAAAAACTTCTAGCTTTGAAATTTTTATTTAATAGTTTGTTTTTATGACATACTGTAACTTAATAAGGTTATTTAATAAGGTTAATTACCGTCTTTCACAATAGTATGATATTATCCACTTTAACCATAAATTTCAGCGACTTTTCCTTTGGTTTCTTCACCGAACTTGACAATATTTATTTCTTATAAATTTATGATCTTCTTTTTAAAATAATTTAGGAGTAAAGAGATTAAATAAATCATATTTAAACCATAATCAATATTTAACCTTTCAATAGTCATTTTCTTTCTCTAATTATTTGATTAATGAAAAAGTGATGGGACGTTATCAAATTGACAACAAATGCGATGAATATGCTCGACTAGAACTATGTTTTAGTTAGTCATTTTTTTTTTATAAATTTATATATTAATTATATCAAATTTAAAGTATTCTTCGTCATGATTACTCATAGTTATTAAAAAAAAATACTTCTCTTATTGTATTTTGTGACAGTTCATCCAATAAGTTTTGAGCTTCGGAACTCAAAAAACATGATGCTAGCAGTTCGAGTGGCCCTCCTTTTGTGTGCCATTGTCTACTTCGCCATAGGCATTTTTGGGTATTTGCTGTTTGGGGACTCATTAATGTCAGATATTTTAACCAATTTTGATCAAACTTCAGGTTCATCAATAGGGGCTCTGTTGAATGATACTGTGAGATTAAGCTATGCATTTCATCTAATGTTGGTTTACCCTTTGCTCAACTTCTCTTTGAGGTTCAACATAAATGAATTGCTGTTTCCAAACAAGCCTCCTTTGGCCTCAGATACCACAAGGTTCTTGGCCATAACAATGGCATTGCTGGCCTTCACCTACTTGGCTGCAATTGCTTTCCCAAATATTTGGTCTATTTTTCAGTTCATGGGCTCTACTTCAACTGCATGCCTCGCCTTCATCTTCCCCGGTGCCATCGCCCTCAGGTACTTCTCTTTCCCTAATATCCCTTAATTTGCTACGCTATTATACAATGCAATTGAGTTCAGTTTCATCTGATAGTGAGATACAAAGAACTATAGTTATAGAGTTAGATATGCACATCACACATCAATAATATCAAATACTAATTAATTTGACCAATAATATATGACATAGAGATCTCTATGATTAAAGAGATATGAAGCTTAAGTTTATCTTATTTAAGACGTCTACTCTAATAAAATAATTTAGTATAGAAGTAAAGTAGGTCATGACAAGAGACCACATGTCCAAGCATTTGCTACCTGCATAATATTTATCCTATTAACATGTCAAAGCAGGTAGATCTGTATAACATGTTAATAGGATAAAAATTATGATTTGAGCTCGTAGGTAAGAGTTTCGAGAATATGTTAGAATCTAATTTTTTTAGTTGAGCAACCGATGAATATATTTAAGAGTTGCTTTACTTACAAGTTATGTTTACATAATTATTTGTTTGGACATGGTAGAGAATATATTTAAGTAGTTGTTTATTTACACGTGTAGGGATGTGAATGGAATATCAACAAAGAAGGATAAGGTGGTTGCTACAGTAATGGTAACTTTGGCAACCGTGTCAAGTATTATTGCTATTGCTATAAATATAAACAAGACATTCGAAAATTAATATTTCAAGAATTTCATTTCTTTATTTTTTAATCATTAAAATAATATTAATCTTATGATATGTCGAAATAATATTAGTTTTATAATAAGTCTATAAGTATTTTATATCTTTTTGATTCAATTTTGTAGGTGTGAAAAATGTATTATTAAATTGTTTGTGTTGAGGTAGAATATGATTGATGTTTTTGTTTTATCATTTATTTTATTTCTTTTTCAGAAACAAACAGAAAAGAAAAATACTTATTTTAAATATATATAAAAAAACAACAAATAAGAGAGAAAGTAGAACAAGTAACCAAAACGTGTCCATTATGAATATTTAGACTTTTAATTAGTTTAATTTAAAGATTTTTTTTTATTATTTTCATCTATCTTTAATCCATCAAACCCGAAGATTGGGTTCAGTTATTGAGTTATGGCAGCAAGCAACGAGCGTGAATATGCAATGTGATGTAAGGCATGACAGTAGTGCATGTGATACGCAA